TACTGTTTTTTTTTTTTTTTTTTTTTTTATTTCATTTTCTATTGTCGGGGAAACTAAACTGTTACAATTTTAATTTCTAGAGTTGAGGCTAACATAAAAATTATATTTTCATTTCATATTGTCATATATTATTATTGCATTTCATATAAAGAATTAAGAATGAGAAATGTCTTATTCAAGGTCAATATTCATATTGGTCTGTGTGTGTGTAATATATACATACATGCACATAACAATTTAGTATCGTTTTGTTGAATTGATAGTAATTTAGTATTTTACATTAGGGTAAATGTATTTGATGGAAAAAATTAAAAACTAAAAAATTCTTTGAATATTTAACATATTGGCTATTTTTAATGATAAAGTTTAAAATGTGGCTCTGTTTGATTAAAATTAAGTTTTAAATATAATTGATTATATCTTGATTTGTTATAAAAATAGAGAAAACAAAATAAGTATACATTATCATTAGGAACCATTTAATGTATTGTGTGTATTTATTAAGTTTGTCTTGAATATTATATATTGTATATAATCAGTGGCGGACGCAGTGAGGGTTTTTGGGGGTTCAACCCCCCCACCCCCAAATGAATGGATAATTAATTTCAAACGTAGTTATCCTACCTTATGTACCTTAAAAAAAAATGAATTATTCAAAATACGATTAAAATATGCTAGAAAAAAAATGTTTTGTTAAAAAAATTAAATTGTAATAATTTGTAATTTTCCAAACGTTCTAAACGGTATTGGTACTTAAAACTCAAATTTTTTAAATTCCATGATGGCAATTCTTCGTAAAAATAATGCATGTTTATAAGTCTCTTATTATTAGTAAGTAAAAATAAGTAAATATACGTAATCGATATAATATAATTTACCATGGTACATTATGATTGACAGATTTCCCTAAATTTTGTGTTGTATGGTCATGTGATAACGATCGACAATAGTCAATAGTAAATTATTTCAAAATAACAGTAATCAGGCCCGTATTTAGAGGGGACACGGTTAGGCACATATCCGGAGGTGGCAAAATATTTTAGCAAAATTAATTTTAAAAATTATGTACCTAATGAAAAAAAAATAAAACAATAAAAAAAAAGAAAATAGTATGTTTTGTTATGTTATAATTTGTTTAATTTGTTAATTAAAAAAAGTATTAAACGATTATAAATGAATTTATAAGATATATTAATATTAAAGAATCTGGATTATGGACAAAGTAATATGTATTATATTATTATTATTTATTTATTTTATTTTTTTTTTTTTTTTGGGGGGGGCTAATAAAATAATATGCCCGGAGGCGCCAAATTTTTAAATACGGGCTGACTGTAATTATTCTTATTTTTCAAACCCCCCCCCTGAAATTTTTTTCTGCGTCCGCCCCTGTATATAGTGATGTGTTACGTTATTCGGATGTTAATAATTCATTTTATTACAATTTTCTCTAATGATTTGCGAAAAATTAACCTATCTTGCATGAACTCCAAAATATAATATATAATAACAAATTATTTAAACATGCAACAGAAGTGTATTTAAATAGTCGATTATTTTGTAGGGTATAAAATGGAACTACAAATTAAGCAATATTAACCAATATCTACATATAATTCGCCAAAAATAAATTTACCTACTAGTAAATTATGCTATAATTATGTGATTTTTTTTTATACATGACGTGATGAACACACATTTTGTTAATGTCATTCCATACATTTAAAGAGGGTTTTTTGGATCATTATGATGGAACATATACAATGTAATTTGTTTTATTACTTGATAAAATACATAATAATAAAATCTAAAGATAAAATTATTTTCCCTATTGAAGTTCACTCAATAATTTCTGACTAATAATTATTATTTATCTGAAAGAAAATTATATAATTAAAAAAAAAATGACTAAATACACTTGTACACGTGTATTTTAATAACACACACTTTTGCACCGTTTCTATAAAAACACGTACGGAACGTGTTCTTAAATACACGTGAAATAGAGACTCCTAATATATACTGTTAATATAAGTAAGTATTCAGTTTATGTTTTAAGTTCCTAGGTTTAATATTTTTAGTCAACAAGATAAGTAATGTCGTTTCATGAATATTCGTTAAAATATTCAGACATTTTAATGAACTTTGTTAAATTATCCGATTTCATAAACATTTAATTTCCCAGCACCTAAAAAAATTACTTCTGTAATCTACTTCTTTATTTATTGACTAAGAAGAAAAAATATGCAGAATCTTATATTCTTATATTTTACAATCTTAAATATTAGGTACAATTTAAAGTTTCGTATTTTTAATTACAAAAATATTCAAAGTTTTCATAATTTTTATCGAGAATAGTCAAATTTTAAAAATATTTTAACACTTATAAAAATTTATAACGGATTCGACAATTTTTTTAATTAAAATAAAATCACTAATGATAGTAAAATAAATACATACTATTTTACTTATAATGTATTTTGAGAATCGTCATGTAAGTATTCATATTTTTTTAATAATTTGTATATATAGTACTATTCAATATCGTTTTAAAGTTCGAATAAATAAACTGGTTGTATAATTGATATTGTAAATATCATCCCAAAAATGTTAGTAACGTTGAAATGTCAATCGCTTTTATTTTAGTTAAGTACAAATATTTTAAACGTGTATATAATCGTATATATATGTTAATTATACTGTTTTTCATTTATCATTATTAAAATATTTTTTATAAGATTATTGGTCATAGATTGATTTAAATGACAGTCGTTTAATGTACATTGTATTAGGTCGAATAATCGATATGGTGATTGGTCTCCTTTAAAGACATGTGAACTATTTCATCTGCTTGTCACATAGACATTTTATGTGGACACAGTATCGTAGTTATTTATTGCTGGGCATGCCAGCTGAATAAATATCTGTAATTAACTCCTACTACTAAACTTCCAACTATTTTACAATACACAATTAGCATATGTTTACATCTGTATTGGTGTTCCATTGTTTTTTGACACGTGTATTACTGGAAAAATAATATTTCATTTCAATTTTTTCAAGTCTTAATTCTCACGTTCCTATTCAATTCTGAATTTCTAATATTTAATTTATCACCTATGGTATTATAAAAAAATGGACGTAAAACCATATTTTTTCAATTTTGGGTTTTATAATGATATTGTATACCTACGTATTTTTTACGTAGATATTGAATTATTTATGAATACAATTTAATTACATTTTTCATCATAGTTTTTGTGTCATAAAAACTATTCAATAGTTTTAATCATTAAAAAATCCTGTATGTATCCTTAAGATTGTTTGAAATTATATTTAGAAATTCTTGACCACATATTGTATTATTTAGAGAAGTCGAAAGTGTTCGTAAATGCATCGGACCATGTTAGATATGGTTAGATATGGTTGAATGTTTTCGGATGAAACATGTTACAGACTTTTTAACATGCATTATTTTATTATAGCCATAACGTTAATTGTTTTTATTTTTGATTAAGTTTTAATTATACGATAGGTACTTTGATCATATTTTTAGTCTTTAAGTCCAACTATAGTAAACATTTTTGTTTTGATTAAAATAATTATAATCGATTTTTGCTTTATATATTCGAATATTCTATACACTTATTTTGAAAAATATTGGGTTCTAAACAACGTCAAATAAATTTTACATATAATTGCTTAATACTATTAATTTTTTTTAAAATAATTATTATTTCAATTTTAATAACAGGACTTACAAGAATGATTATGTTAAAAAATAATCGCCTTAATATCTACCCTACTCCTACATACTGTTTTACTTTTTGACTTAATAAAATCAGTTATTTTTTTTTTTTTAATCTATACTAGAGATAATATTTTATATTTCATTCTCATTTCTCTATTTGTGTGTTTTCCACGTTATTATATTTTGTGTGCATGCCGAATAGCAATATTAAAATACAATTATTGTTACCAAAATAAAAATGTTGAATTCGTCAGCCTGAATATTCGGAATTCTTCATTCAATTTTTGTGCTAACAATATAATTCCAAAACTTTTAAAATTAAAAAATTTAATCAACCGTAAGTTCTATTTTAATTGTTTAAAAATAATAGATTAACGGAATCATATGAGTTTACTACAATTGCCGAATAGTATTGAATCAATACATTTTCGTCATATCAAAATATTTGTGTATTCTAAATATATCGAGAAAGATGACGTCTGTATATGTTTACTTAGCCGTGCGTCTGTGGTTGTAGTGTTTAATATTATTTTATACCCCCACCCTCCTTAATAATTTAAGTTTAATTATTAACGTATCTTTCATAATATCATATAGGATTATTCTTTTTATTGACTTTCTAACATAATTTATCTTTCTACACATATAAGCGTCCGTGTTATTTTTTTAGTCTTAAGATGACTATACTCTATAAACATTATTATTTACATTTAAAACTTAGAAATTAAGCAATTTATTTTAAATTAAATTTTTTTTTCCTGTAAAATATTTTTTTTGTATCTGAAAAAAAACATATACGATAAGTCTTCATTGTTGTATTTAATAAATACATTACAACAAGTTGTTGTGTACACAGATCATTATACGATAAAATTGTCTAAAATTAAATATGTTAAAAAGAGTAATGAGAATCTCTGACTGAGAGTCTCTACTTTACGTATATTGTGAGTAGAATACCACTGATATTGTAATTATAACTGTACGCATTAGAAAATTTCCAATTTGTACGAGCCCGTTCACTCAGTGTTTCACATTATAAATTGCATTGTACGCGAATTCAACCGTCAACCGATGGCACTTGTACGAATGGAATTGTATTTCTACGCTTATTGTATGCGCTATTTGGTGTTGGGAAAAACTAAAAATATATGTTTATAATGATCGGATTCCGCGGCCTTTCCGACGACCGGACTCCCACCAATGACAAACACACGTGTCTGATCGCCGAATGGTGTTCGTGTGATTTCAGAAAAAAAAAAAAATTCCGGTCGTCAACGATGTGGTCATTGTCAAAGATTGGTCGTCGGATGGTTACCGTATTCGTCGGTCGTTGTCAGCAGCAGCAGCAGCAGCAGCAGCAGAATTGGCATGATCTGCCTCGGTGTCATTCATCGTGCAGCTCGCCGACGACAGATGTGGCCTCTCCGTTGCGAAGTACTAAAAAGAAGTCGGACCGAGCGTCGTCCAAGCACCTGGTGGACGTGAAGACGGTGCGGGTGACTGGCGGCTGTGGCGGTGACGGGCGCGTGTCGTTCTTGAAGTTGTTCGGTAACGAGAACGCCGGCCCGGACGGCGGTGACGGAGGTAACGGCGGCCACGTAGTGTTCCGCGCGTCGGAAAACGTCACCGGGTTAGAACACGTGCTGAGCCTGATCAAGGCGCCGGACGGCGAGAACGGCTACAACAAGGATTGCCACGGCAAGTGCGCGGAACATCATTTCGTGGACGTGCCCGTGGGCACGGTTGTTAAAGACAGCACCGGCCGCGTGGTCGGCGACCTTAGCCGTCACGGCATGTTGTTCGTGGCCGCTCGGGGCGGCGCGGGCGGCCATGGCAACCGTTACTTCGCTACAGACACGGAACAGGTGCCCGAGGTGGCCGAGGTGGGCGGCGCCGGTGAGTCGCTGCAATACACGTTGGAGCTGAGCAGCATCGCCGACTTCGGGCTGTTGGGGTTCCCAAACGCAGGCAAGAGCACGCTGTTGCGCGCCATCACCCGGGCCAGGCCAAAGGTTGCGCCGTATCCATTCACCACGCTACAGCCGTATATTGGCATTGTGCGGTACAGCGACATGGAAACGGTGGCCGTGGCCGATTTGCCGGGTCTGATCGAGAACTCGCACTGCAATCACGGGCTGGGCATATCGTTCTTGCGTCACGTGCAGCGGTGCATGGCGCTACTGCTGCTGGTCGACCTGTCGCTGCCTGAGCCCTGGTCGTACGTGGACGTGCTCCGCAATGAGGTGCGGTGTTTTTCCGAGTCGATCCTGGACCGACCGCAAGTGATCGTGGCCAACAAGATTGACGTGGATGGCGCCCGCGACAATCTAATCGCACTCAAGCAATGGCTGCCCGGTGACACGGTCATCGAGGTGTCTGCCAAGCATGGTATTAACCTGGAGTTCCTGTTGAAGCACATGAAGCACATTTACGACGAGAAGCTTAAAGGCGCGGAGCCGAACGCTATCAGGACGCCCCGTTGACTGAACTTAATATAATACTTACGATTAATTTTCTTCCGTTTATAATTATTAGATTAGCTATGTTGAGTGAGCGAATATTGTATTTATAAGTTCTTTTATTACAACTATACTTTTGTAGTATTCGACTTTTGTGTTCAAAATGACCAACAAGGTTTGCTCCCAGGAATCATGAAATAAACGCGACATTATGCATATTATAGCGTCTTCTTATATTTTATTCTATCTTACTATTTAATCACGAGTGGTTTCTTAATGCTTTAACAAAAAATAAAATTATGCTATATTGTGCATGTATATAGAGTTCTTAGCTAGCGGGCTATAGTTGCGCCATGATGAAATATTCGTATGGGTGTAAAAGATCATTGACGTGAATGCATTCCACACACTTAGGGTTCACTTCTCAGCCAAAGATATTACGGAATTAAGAAAATACATCCATTTTGTAGACTCTCGGGATAAATCACCTGGGCTCGCGGAAACAGCGCCCATAGAGGTTCCTTCGTTATATGCTAATGAAGACATGATATGCCACCAAAGAGAGAGTTATCTATAAAAGCTATAAATCTTCAGGATTTGATTGTTTAATCGACAAATCGTGTATGCGTGACCGTATAAAAACGTGTATTCATTGTTGGAAATGTTCGATGGAAAAATTAAACAGTTCCAAAAAAAACTAGACCGCAGAGAATGTGGATTATAATACACGCGCGCACATACACAAACACACACACCCTTATATAACTATATATTCATTGGCGTAGTCGAAGGAAAGGTATACTTTTGCGGTATATTGGTTACGCGTGACGTATGCGATTTATTTTTTGCACGTTTCGCTGTTTTTACGCTAAAGTAAATGTCGGTCGCTCCCTGACGACACGAATGGGTTATATATTTTTAATTTATCCGTTTTATATTCAAGCTTACCATATAATAATAATGAAATCGATGGTACAATGATCAACTATGTAAAAATCTTATTTTTTAATAAATTTTTATGAAAATGACCCGGTGTTTTACTGTCGTTTGTTACATACATATTTTTTTGTGATCGATGCAATCAAGTGAAACTGAAGTTCACATACATATTTGGTCTGTATATGTATATTGTCGTCAAGTGACACTAGAACTCTGTTTTTATTTCTTCGCATTTGAAATAATTTAATGATTTCTGTTCTACAGAAGTATATACCACGTTAGTGAATAGTGACTTGTCCATTTATACCAATAATGAAATAAATGAATTCAATCTTAGATTTGTAGTTGGAGTGTTAAAAACAGACTAAATACAGCGTACGAATCAGATAATAAAATAATATTGATGATTGTATATGTGTATATACTTGTTTATTCCATTTAATATAGCAAAATAAATAACATACTTATTTACAGTTTTTATGCTATAAGTTATAATTTTTTACAAATCCAATTTAAAATCTACAGAAGTTAAATTAAAATAACCTGTAAATCTCACCTAAATATGGGTAAAAATGTCAAATTGAATAATTTTAAAACGATTATTTTCAGAATTACAACAAAAATACTGAAAATCCCGCGCATTTTACCATTGTTTTTTTAAAAGGCTGTAACTTGGTTAATATTGGACTTAGAAAGTTGATTAAGCTACCAAAATTCATTAAAAAATTAGACAAAAAATAATTAGTGATTAAAATAGATGGTTACCGTATAAGAAAAAAAGTTTTTGTGGGCATACGCAAAATTAACTGTCACAAAAATAGTCTAATTATTTGAAAATGTGTATAATAATGTTTATTAGTTAGCCAAAAAAACAGAATTGAAATATATAAAGCCTGCACATATTTATTGTTTCCATTTATCGCGATCACACTGTATGTGTATGATTTAGTCTGTTCAATGATTCAACACGGTTCATCAGATATGACGAATAAAACCATAATAATTTAATATTTAAAATGATTACCTCACTGATGAAATTTCTAGCTACGTCCTTGATACGAGTTCTTTTAAAAATATGAACAACTCTAATAGTTTACGGGAAATAAATCAAATAAGTAGTTCTGTATTAACTTCCATTCAAGCCAGTTAAAGTCTCTCGATACTAAATGTGAATTAAATTGATGTTTCCTTTCAAAAATTGTAAAAGATAATATTGTCTGCTCAGACTAACTTCATTTTCTTAACTTTCATATCCTCATAACAAATTCTCAATCAATTTCTATATTCACTATCTCATTTCATCGTAATTTCTTGTTGTTCTAACAACCCTATTGGCCAGAGGCGGATCCAGTGTCTTATTCTGGGGGACGCCCTTCTGAAAAAACAACCAATTAAAATATACAAGATGTAAATTTTATATGTATCTAATAAAAATTACCACTTTTAAAAGTGATGATTTAAATTGTATGCATCTCGATTATCATGTTTGGCATAACAATTTTAATTTGTGAATCAAAATATTTTTTAAAACAAATTACCATTTTGCAGATCCGTTAAAAAACGCAATAACTTCTTTCAATATACTGATAGTATTTCTGACAGAAGCTACTTTAGGTAAATAAGAAAAAGAAATATTTAATACATGATTTAAACATGTACATCGTACAGTCATTGGACATTCTTTTATTATATTAATTATGGCGCCAATATTTTTGAAGTCGTTACACTGCATCCATCAGTTCCTACGCCTGCATAAAATTTCAAATTGAGTTCAGGGTCTTTTAAAATATCTAAAACTTTAAGACCAATAGCAAGTTTTGTTTTGATTCTCCATATGTAACATCATCCACGTTAATGCAGTAGCGTAGCCAAGAGAGGCGTCTAAGGAGGTTATAGCCCTCCCCTCATGGGTTTTTTTATGTGCATGTACTATACTAGTATACTGTAATTTAAGTATTTTAACTTTGGTACAAACTAAATATTTACGAATAACTCATTTTGTCTTTGGTACATAGGCGTATTACTTTTCCCATGGTTATCACTATATTTTTGGTGGTTATCATGAAAATCATTGGTGATTCTCGTCTAATTCTATCTTTTTAACGAGTATAATAATTATAGTTCTTGTATTATATATTTATAATTAGCATACAATACGGGCGTGAGCCCAATTTACATTTAATATTATTACAATAGAATTACAAGTGTGATGACGGAAATAATTATTCTGATATTTTTTTAGCTGTCTACTTATTTTATTTGAAAAAATAAAAATATTTAATAGGTACGTTATAAAATAGTTGGAAAAAGATGAGTGCATTTTTTTAAAAACCTAAAAGTAAAATATACTTACGGATCTTAATATTTATTTATTTTAATTTATTTTGCCTTTGTAATACTTACTTTCCAGGAATAAACTGATGTTTTAAATGTTTATTTAATCATTCAAAACCGTGAACGCTTTAATTTGCGTTTGACCCATCGGCTAAGGGAAGTACGTGCACTGTATCGTAATTGAATTTTTGCGTTCTTTCGTTACTAAAATGGAAGGGCAATGGGAAACTTTCAGTTTCGAATAAAATGTACATAAAATAATTATTATGTTAAAAAGCATGCACAATATGGTAAAACGTCGGCTGTGAAACGGAAAAAGGAACTCCGATGGTAGTTTCGAGCTTGTGTATTATGCATTGCTCGCTCGGGAATAAAATACGTCCATACGGGTAGCAGCTTGTCCGTGGCAATAAATATATATATATATGTATATATTTTACATCACCCACCCTAGAAAAAAGCGAACTTAAGTAAATTTACTCCACCGAAAACCCTAGTGGTATTCTACTGCCATCGAGGGAATTGCGCATCTTCTCCTTCTTTGTTCCATACTGGACGTATTGAGATTTACGGAAATAACCCGAGAAAACTAAGTAGGTTTACGACTTGCCTATCTGTCCATCTGTGACTTATGAAGATTTTGCGTGTCGAAAAAGAGTCAAAAGTTTTTGAAAAAAAATGAATTTTCTTTTAATAATTATATTTTTAAAAAAATAATAATGCATTTCGATTCGTATACCCTTTGATGCGAGTAGTTAACAACTTGCATTCGGTATGCAAGCAATTATTTATAATCATATAGATGGAGATTGGATCCTATTTTAGGGACGCATACTTCCTTTAAATATAATTAATTTTCAATATGTCAAGCAAATTAAAAAAAAAAATTGTAAATTATTAACTTTTATGAATTAATATCACTAATGTATTTATGTCACTAAGTTTCAAGAATGAATGTTAAGTGTGTCGACTATATTTCAGACATTTCTCGGGGGCTTAGAAAGTATTTGAGATGCCAATGACTCTTATATAATATTCATTACAATTTATCTTATTATAAAAACGTATCAAGTTCGAGTTAAGTTTTCATTAAAAAATACATATAAAATTACTTGTAAAATTTTTAAAAATAATTAAAGTGAACTAATAAATACTTTTGGGGGTAGTATTTATAAGATCATACTTATTCTACGTTATTTTTTAGTCTTAAATCAATTAAAGAAATTCTAAAAATTTTCGCTCGCTAAAAAAACGTATCAAAGTCAATTATTTGTGGTAAACTCCGTAAAATGTTGCTTTATCCTATAACAGAATTAATAAATTGTTTATAATGTTGATTAATAAACGAGTTATTTTTTTCATTTCTGCTGTGTTCTCTTAGTTTTTTATGTATCAATTGTGTTATGAAATTGTTTTGTGAAAAATTTAAATTCTAAGAAACATGGTTACAGTATAATGATTATATTAAACTAAATATGTTCAAACCTGGTGGACTAGCTATAATGGTTTTGAAATCAAATTTTTATCAATAATGATTAGTATTACTTTATCTATACATTTGCATTATAATTGCTTTTAATATTTAATTTTCTATTTAGTATTTACTTTATTTTTTTTTATTTGTGTAGCCATTATGTTTTAAATTAATCATATAGTAATACAGAATGCTTATTAAAATATGTAATACAATTATTGAAATTTGTTTAACTATTTAACTATTTTGTTTTATTATTATTATGTAAGTGCATTTTATCATTAATTTAAATTTATTATTTGGCTTCACCTTATGTGAGTTGATATAATTGGCTTTATTAGGTTCAATTACCATATCATATTCATCTTTATTTGAGCTATTTTAATATTATGTTTTCTAATTATTTTGTTTAAAAAAAAACCAATATAAAGAGTATCATTATGATAATCTAAACTTTATTTAAAATGAAATAATTTAAAATATATTTTAAAACTTAATTTGTTTTATAATTCTTAAATTTAAATATAAATTTTAGACTTAGATTTAGTATAATTGCAAGAACTAAATTGTAATATTTTTATATTTTTTTCAGGTATGTATCAATGTGCAAGTAAATAAAGAGATAAAATTATTTAAAAATACAGGTATTGCATCCATAAAATTGAAATTGGTAAACTATTTACAAAAATAATATAAATTAATATTTAAATATAATTAAGTCATAAATCATATAAGATAATCAATATTTTGATTACAGTATTCTGGTTATAATATTCTGGTTACTAACATTTATCATTATAATAATATATTATATTGATGATGTGGTGTACAATATTATGAATTATATTTTTTTTCGCCTAAGACAAAAATAATGATAACTGTATGATTAAATCAAAAAATGAATTACTTATTAAACTACTTTTAGTAAAAATATATGATACTTCAATTTTTATTTTGTGTGAGTTAATTTGTTAATCTACATTTGATATAGTCGTTACATATATTTTATTAGTTTGTCCATATGATGAAGTCCTTGATAACACTGCAATTAAATAAGTTGAATTTGGCTTTAAGTTATAAATCTGAAAAACAAAATGTGCTATTAATAATGACCATATAAGTATATTTATTATTAATTTATAATTATTTAATCTTTTTTTTCTTTTTATTGGTAATCAAATAATTTTCTTAAATTACCGTGTGATTATAATATGAAATTTCTTTTGTAATTTTTATTTCTATGTCAGGTATATTTTCACAACATTTCGCATTATCTTCAGAAGAAATTTCCTCGGTATTTATTATAAATGATTTTAGTACACCATTGAATATCCGTGGAATGTTCCATTCCAATGTAATATGCTTAGAACCTATGCTTGTTGCACTTAGATTTTCTGGTTTTTCTGATACTATTTAAATTTGTTATTATAATTTATATCATTAATTTTATAATTGTTTTAAATGACAAATCAGACACATCAATTCTAATTAAAGAATAATGTTGACACCATTTTTATTAACATAAAAATTCATTATTATTATTGTAATTTTATCAATTACAAATAAATATCAATTCATTATAAGATAATATAAAAAAATATGAATATATATTATCTAGAAATGTTGAGAATATTACTTACATCCATCATCAAAATGACTGTCAATTGAAGCTGGCCAACCACCTTTAGGATAGTCTAGTGATTTGGCTCTCATCTAATAAATTTTGTGATGTATAGATTTAATTAAATATTTTATAAGATTGAGAAATATTAAAGTATTACTTTAATTGTATATTGGTCATTGGGTATTAAGTTTTCTAAAGTAGTACAGTAAAATTTTGGCCAATAAATACATTTTTTTAGGTTCTACTGTTATTTGTTTTTCAAAATCAATTTTCTTATTAATTAATGTAATGATAAAACTATTGATATTATCATATTTTTCAGTGAAACTCCATCTCAATCCAATTGATTTAAGTTTTATGTTTTTCTCATAAACTGTCAAGTTATTCACTGATTCTAAAACTAAAATATAATAAATCAATTATTTATATTATTAAATGATTTAACAAATATATTTCAAAAAAATGTAGTTAATAATTTTAATATTTAAAATAAATGTAGACACCACTATTTGTAAATCCTGTCCCAGTTACAAATATAATTATATATACTAATGAACATTTCCGATAGTGACACTTTTGAATTTCTTGATAAATATAATATAAACAAAATAAAAGTATGATACATTTATATTTGTAAGTTTGAAAGAATTCTTTTTTTCTTTGAATGATAACTAAGTTTTATTATATTTTTATAATATTGAATTTAAAGTAACTGTTTTTGTAGTAACATAAAATATGAATATTTACCATTGTCACAATTATCCCCTTTGAAACCAGGAGGACATATACATTTATCCAGTGGCGTACATTCGATCTTGCTCTGGGGAGGGTTTAACAAAAATAATCATTATCTTTTTTTTTTTCGTTGTACAGATAAATAAGATAAATAACTGCTATAAACAGTTATTATTTTATACAACTATTTTACCAATTTACAATTTACTTTTACATTACAGTAAATTAATAGCTATTGGAAAAAAAAAACAGCATAGTTAACAAAACTTTTCAAACACCTATCAATATAATTATTTAATTATCATAATATTTGTATAGTTGTATATTTTAAGTTCAAAGCGTAATAATGAAACTACGAATATATTACACGTCATCAATAATAAAACAATTTCCTTTTTTTTTTCTTTTTTTTTTTTTGGCCCTGGGGGGGTTTGAACCCGGAAACCCTCCCTGTATGTACCCCACTGCATTTATCTTTGTATGCAAATCCTCCATTGAGACAAATCAATGATATAGGTGATGGTTGTAATAATGATAATGAAGATCCAATTGAAATACCATCTTTTAAATGTCCAAGACAGTGTTAAAGAATATTACTTTCATAAATTATATAAGTTATTACTTGTTTTTGAAACTAATTAAAATGTTAAATGTTCATAATATAACATCAAAAATAAATTTATCTTTTTTATGAAGATTAATAGTACTTTAATAGTGGAAAATATAACACAATTTCTAAATTAGGATTTATCTTATAATTATTATGGTATTGTTATACTAAGAATTTTCTAATGATTAAAAAAAACTCAGTGTTTTTATAGTATACAAATAAACATAAGATTAAATAATGTTTACAGTTTTTTTAAAGAAAATCACCAATATTTTCTTATTTGGTGTAAATATAATATTAATAATGGTTAAATATTATTAAAAAAATTCATTAAAAATTATAATAAATTCATAAAATATAAAATTTAAAATTTTATAAATTACCAAATGGATAGACGTTGAATATTATAGGTGATGGGTATATCTTTTGCAATTCTTCAGTAGTTATTGTTAATATTTCTTCATTTGCTGTTTGAAATATTTAATTTTTTTTTTTATTATTCATATTCTTATTCTACTACGATTATATTAATCATAAAAGGAGAATTAAACTGTGTGTTACCATATTCATCTAAGCACTGAGTTATTCGTTTAATTCCAACTGTACAACCTTCTGCATACACTTTTTCAAAAATAAACTGACTATACTGATCATAATAACCTCTATGTTGATATACTTTTTTAATTTCAAATTTTTTTTGTAGTTTCATATTTATACTGTAGGTTACATTTGTTAATAATAATTTATCTTCTTTGATAAGTACAGTTTTTAAATCTTCCTGCAAAATAGTAAGTTTGAGTATCAATGCTATTGATACTTAGAATTAAAAATATATTATTGTTATAGTTTCATTTTAAAAATTTAATTATATGTATATTATAAATTTTACCGCTTCTTGAAAATTATGTGAGTATACTATATCCAGGTTATCGTCATTAATTATTTCCATTGAAAAAGTGCATTTTGAAATATCTTTTAATATATATGATACTGATATACATGTTGTTTTTTTTTGTTTCCAACTTATTTTAAATGATCCCTCTTCATTTTTAGCTTCCCATGATAATAAATTGTAGTTGAATTGTTTAGAGGTAGATCGGTTATCTGTAGTAATATTAATTTAAATTATTTATACAATAATATTTTGTTTCGATTATCAATATAAATTAAGAATATAATTTAAAATTAATTTATTCAATTTATCCTAACCATTTTAATTTTTTTTTTTTTTTTTTAATTATAAAAAATTAAATTAAAATATAGCATACTCTAATGTTTCCATATTTGATATAGAAAATGTTTTAATGGTCTATTCATCAGCTTTATATTCAATTTTGTTTGTCGTAAGAGTATAAGTTGGATATTTTTCATCTGCTATGAATTCTAAAGTTTTATTTTTAGAGCTTAAAATAATTCCATTGAACTGAATTGTCATACCAATAGCATTAGTTCTTAAATGAATTTCCATATCATTGTAGTATATGGACTTATTATTTTGACTAACTGAAAAAAATAAAAATATTTGATTGAAATAACTAAACATTTAAATAACTGTTATATATTTACTTTTATATGCATTTTCAGTGGACTGAATTTTGTAAATTGTAGTGATGTCATAATTATCTTAAGAAATAAGATAATATAAATTGTTAAGAAATAAAATATTCATAAAAAAAATTGCTTTTCAACTTATTTATATCTTTTTTTTTTTTTTACAAGAAATATACAATCTATACAATTAAGCATAATAAGTAATGTGAGATGAGGGTAACAAAACACCCATTGGTAGTACTTAGCTGGTTTAGTGTGATTACTTACAACTTATTAGGATTAAGTTAGATGAACCCTACACCATTTTCTTTTCAGCCTGCGACGAGGGTTTCCAGGAAGTGACGGGATATGTAAGCCTATTATTAGAGGATTTACATGGTTTTTTAATTTATTATAGAATCGTTTTTAGAAAATAGCAGCTTCTTCTTCTACTGTTTTTATACCTAGGTCTTTGTGTAGGGTCATGTTGGAGACAAATGGTGGGGCATTTGTGATTTTGCGAAGGGTAATTTTATTTAAATTTGATTTTTTTGCCGATCCCCACAGTTGAATTCCATACGTCCATATGGGTTTCAGAAGTGATTTTTATATTTGAAGTTTGGTTTTTAAATATGTGAATTTATTTTTAAAAAATAATAATTTTAAAGAACAGGAGCGGGCATTAAGTATTTATCTTTTTTCCTTATATGATTTTGCAATGTTAGTCTTTTATCGAGGTTTAGTTCTAAATATTTAACAATGTCAAGAGCTGGGATAGGTAAGTTATTTATAGTTACGTTAGGACAATGCCCGTGTCTTAGGGCGAAGGTTGTGTGAATGGATTTGTTGTTGTTTAATTTAATTTTCCATTTGGCATATCATTCTGAGAGTAGATTTAGGGGGGATTGTAAATTTTTTGAAGCAAATAGCGGATCATTGTGTACTGACAATATGACTTTATCGTCAGCATAATCAGCAACAATAGTATTTTGTGTGGAAGGTTGATCGGCAGCATAAATATTAAATAAGATAGGAGAATGTACAACTCCTTGTGGTACTCCTGCACTAATTGTGGCTATATTTGAGGTGGCGGAGCATTGGCGTATTTGAAAATGTCGGTCTGTAAGAAAACTCCATTAGTAGAAATAGTGTAGGAGGAAGAAATTTACGAAGTTTGAACAGAAGACCTTCATGCCAAACTTTGTCAAAGTCCTAGGAGATGTCTAAAAATGCACAACTACAATAGCATTTGTTTTCAAGGGAGGTAGAGATTGCATCAATAACTCTATGGACCTGGTGTATTGTGCTGTGTTTGGCTCTGAACCCAAATTGTGAGGACGGGAGTACATTTTTTGCTATTATGTGCGGATAAATGCGTTTGAGAATGAGTCTTTCGCAAATTTTTGAGAAGTATGGTAATAGACTTATAGGTCTATAGAATTTTGAGAGGTCAGGAGGTTTATCCGATTTAGCAAACATAATAATTTGGAAAATCTTCCAAAGAGTAGTGAAGTATGATAGTTTCAAAATAGCATTGTAGATGTAAGTAAGCAGTATGAAGACTTTGTTCGGTAAGCAATTAGCAGCATTAGCCTTTATTAAATCAAACCCTGGAGATTTATTGCGAGAGCAATTTGAGACCATACTTTTAACTTCATTGAATGTAAAGTATTTTTCTGGGCGAGCACTTGGTAAGGAAAAATGTAAATAATTTTCAACATCGATAATATGTTGCGAAATATGGATGTCTCATGCGAATACAAAGTTTTAGAAAGGTGGACTTGGAATACTTCTGCTTTTTCAGCGTCTAAAACGGCAAGCGAGTTGTCATAATTTAACAGTGGGAGTGAAGCAGTTTTATATTTAAGTAACCGCTTAGTTTTTCTCCATAGACTTCCATCAGTGATAGATAGAGAGTGTAATTTTTGTTCAAATTCATATGATTTATATTTGGCCAAAGCCTTTTTTAATGAGTTAGCGAGTTTATTATAAGCTGTTTTGTGAGATGAAAACCTAGTAACTTGGTATTTAGCTCTAGCTCTTCGTTTTTCTACTATTAGGCAACGAATTTGCTCAAATACTATTGGGTAATTATTTATATAATTATGTGTTTTTTTAGGCTTGGTGGCTTCCCAAGCAGCTGATTGTATGAGCATAGTCAAGTTATTTACCGCTTCATCGATTTCATGATTTGACTTAAGTTTAATTTTTAAATCAATTCATTGATTAAGGATATTTTGAAATTCAAGACGGTCAATAAAAGGGGAAAAAAATCTAGGGGGTTCAACTCGTGCAAAAACAGTGGCAGACACATTGAGTATAACAGATGAATGATCAGAGTTAAGATCTAATATGTTTTTAGTTAGGCAGTGTAAATTACTAGGAATTTTAGTGACAAATATATCTAAAATATCCGACTTTTTTGCTGGGAAAGAAGGCCAATAGGTAGGGCCCGGTGGTGCAAGTATATTGAAATTATTTGTGTTGACAAAATTATATAAGACATTTCCACGGGGGTTATATGTGCGACAACCCCAAGCACTATGTTTAGCATTAAAGTCGCCACCTATGATAAAATTATTTTTGATTGTATTGAAGTAATCTGTGAACGTAGCATTCAAAATATTGTGGCGCGGAGAAGAATAAAAAGCACCTACAGTAATGGGTATGTTATTTAGCTTAACTATTATTGTACACGATTGAATGTGATCGAAACAGTAATTGGTTTGAGGTTAGAAGTGTATTGAATTTTTAATAAATACTGCAACACCACCATGTGCCGTATTATCATGGTGATTGGCTTTAATTAGCTGGTATCCAGGTATGAAAAAGTGTGTATATTTAGTGAAGTGTGTTTCCGTGATAAGGGTGATGTCAATACGTTTATCATATAATACATTTTGTAAAATATTTACATGGTTTTTAAGACCATTAGCATTAAATTGTAAAACTAGGAGGGACTTATTTGTAACAGAATTATTCATTTTTTTTTTTTTGCCAATAAACTTGAGATTACCTGAGTAAGTAATGAAATGAATGGATTGATAAGAGTCTTAAGCTCGCTTACAAAGCCTGCCATAAGCGAATTAATATCAGGAGTAGGCAAAGGAATATCAGATTGTGCATGTTAACCTTGAGTTGCCTGAACATACGTTTGAGATTGGCTAGGAGGAGGATTATTGGGAGTGGTATTACGTGGGTGGCTATCTTGTACATTGTTAGACATAAGACTAGAGTTTACATATACATTGTGATTATTTAGGTTGGTTTTCTTACGTTGCTGGAGGTTTTTATAAACTGTGCATCCCCTGTAGTTTGCAGGGTGGTTACCTATGCAGAGGGCGCATCGCATTGAGTCATGACGTGAATTTGGACAGGCAGATGAAGGGTGATCATCACCGCACCGGACACAACGAGGGCTATATCCACAGTAGGCTTTAGTATGACCATAAGCTTGACAGTTCTGGCATTGACTAATAATTTTTGATTTATGAGGTTCTTCTATTTTAATTTTTGTGTGCAGTAAGGATTCAAGTTCAAAAAATTTCATTTGAGTGATCTGTTGGCTCGAGGTCGACGAAAAATAATGGCAGGGATATTTTACTGATTCTGTGAATAACCTGCGTAACTTGTCTAACTTCGTATAGGCAAAGTTCGAGTTCGCTTTTAATCATTTCCGTTGGAGTAGATGGGTGCAAGTTACGAATAACTATGCGCATTGGTTTATCTTCATTTAGCTGGAATGTATGGAATTCAGCTTGTGCATTTCTTAGGTAGTGAACTAGTGTTCTATACGCTCCGAGATTGGAAGTTTGGATTTCTAAATGATCAGCCGTTAACTTACAAATAAAATTATCAACACCAATTAATTCGATTAATTTTGTGCAAATACCCGGGAAGTCTTCTACGCCTCGTATGAAAATTGGAGGGGGTGGTTTAGAGTAAGTGAGAACTGGATCAGCAATTAACTGTTTTTCCTGTGTAACAATTTCAGAAGTTCCTTCTGTAGATTCCGTTGGTTTTAATACATCAAACCGATTACGAGTCGCGAATAGTTTTTTTCTTACATGTAGAAGTAATTTTGGTAACGATGGTTCTGAATTGGACGAGCTTGAGTGGTTGCGTTTATTATCACTATTAGCAGGTGTCTTCAGTGGCTTGAGTTTATTTGGATTTGCATTTGATGTCTTGTTTTTATCATTTGTATTATTTGTATTATTTTGATTACGGTTAGACATATTTAAATATTTAACTGTTGAATGATAAGTTTTTAGAACTATGGAATCGATTAACTACGCCGAATAGCGTATATTATATTATAATTAATATTACCGTAATTACCGTAATCGCGAGGACAAAGGTCACCGCCGCGGCGATGCCTTGTAGTGAGATTAGGTATATTATATAACCATGCACTAGGATTATACTTAGTAAACTTAAATCTATTTCCACAAATAAAGGTTGGTTTTGGCAGCTGGTAGACACTGAGATCAACAATTGCTCTAAAAACTGCGTCGATTGGTATAAAGAACGAAAAATTCCGACAAGTTTAAGCGACACTACTTTAAACAAACGTGGAGGCATAAAAACGTGTGCATTCAGCTTGGCTGTCCGCAAACAACTGAGATTATTTATATCAAGGTGTAAATTGATGGTAAATGATCTAAATATTTGAGAATTAAGCTTTCTATAAAAAAAAATTGAAAATATTACAGTTATTTTGGTCTTTACTTCTTACAAAATTGTTGAACCTTCAAGCATAAATTATAAAATGATAAGTTACATGTTTGCTAAATGTATAAGTTATAAATATAGAGTACACAGGGTTGTATGGCTATGGTAGGGTAGTGCCTACAGCATAAAGTTACGATTTTTCTTTTTTTGGCCAATATATAGAT